GAATACTTTTTAAAATTCTACTATAAATAAGAACAAACTGAAAATGATCATGTACTGAAGAGTACATGAACTGTAAATGTGAATTAAACACATTAAAACATTACTTTTTCAAGTCATGTTCTCCCAAAATGGTTTGAAAAAACTCAGAAATCTTGATTTTTGAGTTTGTAAAAGTCCAGAATTCACTGCAGAAACAGGAAATATGTTGGAACCAACGCTTTCAGTCTGTGTTTTATCTAAGTTTAGTTTATCTTTTTATTCTTTTCTCAACAATGTCTGCTCGCTGCGCTCTACATCACTGCTTCCCAAACTTTTTATCTTCTGACCCACAACATGGTGAAAACTCGTGACACTGGTCTGAGTACACAAACTTTATTTACAACCCTAAAAACACAGGCTTTTTGACAATCTAAACAGCTTGTACACAAATATAAATACTTATTTATACCTATTTTGTGTTTTATGTAATAATTATAGGGAAAATATTACATCATCAATTATTTTATTAGCCTTTAAATAGATTTCTGGAGATTATCCAAGGTGCTTCATGACCCATAATTGGTCCCAAGCCCAACTTTGGGAACCATAACAGTTGTTTGTGTTTTTGACATTTTGTGCAGAAKGTTGAAGCATGTTCCTCAGCCTCGGCAGAACGTTTCCTACCTGTTCGTCGGCTCTCTCCTGCTCCGCCGACACCATGTCGTGGCCCTTGTGTTCCTTCACCGTGCACAGCACACAGATGCACATCTCGTCGGTGCGACAGAACAGCTCCAGGCCTTTCTGATGCTGCGGGCAGATCTGCCGGTCCAGGTGGCCGATTTCATCCACCAGCTTGTGCCTCTTAAAGGTGGCCGACTCAAAGTGGGGCTTCAGGTGCTTCTCGCAGTAGGAAGCCAGGCACATCAGGCAGGACTTGACGGCTTTGTGCTTCTTGCCCACGCAGATGTCACAGCCGACATCCTGGGGTCCTGCGTAGTTGTAGTCGGGGGACGGAGGCGGCGGTGGGAAGGGCTCCGAGGTGCGTTGGCTGGTGGAGTAGCGGGAGCCTGACATGCGCCTGGGGGTGGGCCTCTTGTTGTAGGTCACCCTGCACTCGGGGCACTGGTAGGAACCTGTGTGGTCGGCATGGTCCCAGTACGTCTTCAGGCAGATGGAGCAGAAGACGTGACCACATGGGATGGAGACGGGGTCCCTGAGGTACTCCTTGCACAGGTAGCAGCTGTCCTGATCTAAAGACAAAGACATGGAGGAACCTCTGCTTYGGTCCTTCTGCACACGCTGACTTGTGTCGACACAGTGGCAAAGTGATCTTACAGGTAGTACAGGGGTGAGTTTTATAGAGTAAACACAGGGAAGCTAAACTGGTTAAACCGAAACCAGTAAAACAAGGGTGGGGTAAGAAAAGGACACAGTCAACATGTCCAACTGTTACAGAGTGCAAGGAGAATGAATGAAATGTGTGATCTGAAGATTACAAGTCTTCTTCATGACTGATGACTGACAAAACAAAAAATGAAAATTAAATCCTACTTTAAGTTTATTTATTAAACTAAGGAGGTTTTTGTAATTTAATATTTTTAAAGAAGACTGGTCACAGCTTCTTGGTTAATTTATTTTTTAAATTCATTTCATAAATTAAATACATGAAAAATAATTTTACAACTAACTGAGGAAGCAGAGTGATGTAATCATGGGTGTGTCACATGCTTCAGTCACGTCTGCTTTAAAAGTTTACTGTGAAAAGACTTTTTTCTTTACAAAAACAAACTACAACAAATGTTTCTGAGGAGAAACAATCTGATAATTACTGAGTTATTTCTAAATATGACTGAACTACTTCAGTGTCAAAGTATCCAATGTTTTCTCATTTTACTGAGTTTAATCAGTCTCATGATTCACCTCTGAATACACTGTAAAACTGTCCACCTAACCAAGTTTTAAACCTTATATCAGCCAAAAACTGTAAAAACTGTCCATCTAACCAAGTTTTAAACCTTATATCAGCCAAAAACTGTAAAAACTGTCCATACTGTCCATCTAACCAAGGTTTAAACATTATATCAGCCAAAAACTGTAAACACTGTCCATCTAACCAAGGTTTAAACCTTATATCAGCCAAAAACTGTAAAAACTGTAAACACTGTCCATCTAACCAAGGTTTAAACATTATATCAGCCAAAAACTGTAAACACTGTAAACACTGTCCATCTAACCAAGGTTTAAACCTTATATCAGCCAAAAACTGTAAACACTGTAAACACTGT